TCCGTTAATTGTGGTACTGGAGTTTGTTCAACTTGTGTACGAACTGCAATGGTGTCAGAGTTCTTTTGCGTGTCATGACTGTATGAAATGTGTTTGGCGAGAATTTCTTTCGTTGAAATTTTTTCGTTAAATAACATCCAGCTCCAGAGTGGACTACACATTAGAAATTATGGCACGGCAAATCACGGTACTGACGAATCAGGTTACTTTATTCACTACGAGAATTAATGACCACTTTCACCCACGGAAACGACAGACGTCACGTAGGCGAAGCCGTACGCCATCGAAAAGGTCCCAGTCTAAATATAGGAACGAATCTCTTTTCACTTTCACCTTCCAGGTCGTGCTGACGTTTATAAATCTAGCTGGTTTGAATATAATGCCTTTGCATTTATGTCTGATAGGAACGAGCCAGGTACATGTACAGGTACAGGTACAGGAAATGTAAGTACATATAACATTTCTTATTGATAGTGATCTTGCCATGAGAATGAAACAGTTCCATTCGTAATAAAATGTCTTGCTAGGTGGTCACGTATCTCTTTAGCATTATTTGCTCCTCGCCGTGGTATTTATATAATAGATAATAATGATGTTGGTTCTGATTAATTTCGCCAAATTCCTTCTACCATTATCCCCTCATTTCCCAGTGCATCAAGAAAGCCAGGAGTAACAAAGCTATTAGAAGATGTTCTCCGTAAATAGTTATAAAAATGAATTGATGCTAAGACAACATTTGTTGTTTGTTCCGGTTCCAATAACACTGGTTTACGCAAAACTCTATAAACAGAACTTAATATTCCGAAAGCGTTTTCTACAACTCTTCGTGCTCTGGAGTACATGCTTAAAAATTCTTTCCTTTGAACCTCTTTCTGGATTGCCTTCGTAAGGTCTCATGGTGTATTCATTCAGCTGAAAAGCTTTGTCACCTAATAGATAAAATGGTACTTTGGTAAAATACGGTGGACGCGCCAGTAACTTGAGTTCTTCGATAAAGTTTTGTGGACTGTATTTGGTACATACAACGAGCAGAGCAAGGAAAATGAGTGAGAGTGGAATGCACGCACTAATCTTGTGAAGGGCTGCCACGCCTTCCTCCCGACGCGTCAGCTAACTGCAGGTCACCACGTGGTCGGCGCACGCACTCCTATATCAGTTCTAGATATCACACTCCTTTACCCTCGACTTATTGAAATCGCGGAAAGCGCGTCACATTTATTTGGTTACAAGGACACAATGTCCGGTGATAATTAATATTAAAGCGGGGTCGAAGGACGTAATGTCCTTGTGCGGTATGAGCGATCGCGGGTATTGTTCAATTGCAACTGGATTGCCGTTGCGTGGCGCTGTGTCGCCTCCAACGGCCGTGCGTACATATAGAAAGGGTTAAGGAAGGGAGGGGTCAAGGTTATGTACCAATTATTCTATTAGATTTATAAATTACATTGTTAACTGGCGTTACCATGCGGTATTTGCAAAATTGTGGGTGATGGTGATGGGATGTTAAGTTCTCTTTTTCAAGTTTTTGGTATACAACTATTTATTATACCTGACAACGATAATATTCAAGATATGGAAAATCAGCAACAACAACAAGATGACACTAATAACACACAATCTAGAGTTGGAACACAAGACTAGAGACCCATAAAACGAAGCAAAAAAAGACCTGCGAAAGACACAGACGATTTATCAGAAGAAACTCTTTCCGAAGCTTTCAGCCACAGACAGCCCCACAGCCACCTTGTGACGCATATTCGGCATTTGGACAATATATTGCCAATGAATTGAGAAAATATGATGCAGTAACTATGGCGCATGTAAAAGATATATGCGGAATAATATTTCAAGCCGACACAGGGGCTTATCAACAATATGGCATATATTTACACAAAGCTATAGTGGGTCTAGGAGACGTCCTAGCAGTCATGCTTCATTCTACACCGATACGATGACTCACTCACCACTACCTCCTCAACCATCAATCACCCCCTTTCCGATGACTTCTCCAATTAAATCAGAGACTCCACTTCCCCCCTTCTCCACCAATGAATTATCAAAATAAATCATTGATTTCTCCTCCCTGTCTGCCTCCCCAAACATACTAAAACATAATTCAAGCAACACGTTGAAATTAATTTCACTTTTTTTGTTATTGTGAAGGTTAGAATTAAAGTGATTGGACTAAATTGATAAGATATTGTTTTTATTTTGCTTAACATAATCCTTTAAATGTCCTTCATTAATCAATTCTTGGTAGAGTTCGTTTCCATTATATAATCTGTTTTTCTATAATGGAAATGTCTGGATCCAATATTGTCTTCGTTTCAGTGCTTTTGTTTTCTCTTTTTTATAATTCTATTTATAAAGATAAAGCAACAGCTGCCGCCGCAACACGTACGTATGGTGTCATGATGTCTTAACTTTCAACTGAACTAACGAATAAATGGCTCGGACTTGCCGCGCGCAGCAGCCTCGCGATGGTACCGAGGCTGCCGCGCTCGTTCGGGGTTCGGTTTCATCGCGCAGCAAATGCCTCGCGAGGCTGTTCAATCTCTGTGGACGCGCCTAATACTGATTTTGTTTAATGTGACTAAGCAAACGCTATCATTATTTATGTGAGCACTTTGTTAACGTGATTTGAAGTTTATTTATAATAATGTTTAGTATGTAACGTATTTGCCTAAAAGCAGAAACTGTCGTAAATGAAAATATTCCTGTGTGGCATATTTACCATGCCAGCTACCTGCCCACGCAATCTACAGCTGCCACACAGTTTTTATTTTGAATTACAATTAAGTACTGTACAAGTAAAAGTAAAACTAATAAAAACAATGTCCACGCGTTAAAATAAGTAACAAAATTATTTCTTTCACGAGCGTAAGATATATTATAAGATCAAGGTAAACCTAAGATTTAAAAAAATAAGTAGTATATGTAAATGTCTTTCACTTTAATTTATAGTTAGCTGCCACGGAAGGAATTTTATATTTCAGTTTCACTCCGAATTCAGTCTTGACTTTTTACAATGTAAATATAAAATAGTTCGAAAAATCCAAAAAAGCACGCCTCGTGAGCGTTTCATTTAATTATGATGAAAAAATAATTGTATTCCTGACTTTTAAATATATAAATATTAATCTTTATATATATATATACTCGTATATAAATTACGTGTCATATTGTTTGTCCGCGATGAACTCCTAAACTACTGAACTGATTTCATTCAAATTTTGCACACTCTGTGTAGTTTGGTCCAATTTGAGAGATAGGATAGTTTTTATCCCGATAAGTGACCCTCAATTTTTTTTATTGCTAATTTTAGGAGTTTTTTTAGGAAAGCAAATGGTCGTTCGGAAAAGCAGAACAACGTCTGCCTGGTCAGCTAGTATATAATATAAACATTATTTAAGTGTTTTAAATTTAGTTCTCCATTATTTTAACAGGTAGTGTCACCTACAGGGAAAAAAATTAAATAATTTTTTACTAACATAAGTCGATTACACAAAGTATAAGATCGATAAAGGCTGTATGGTACATTTATTCTTTGTCTATCAAGGGCTAAAAAATACGAAAGCGCCTTTAAATTTTTAATAGCAATCACAGACTATCAGCGTTGCCACTTTAGTGATTTAGTCACTAGATTTAGTGATTTTTTGGAGATAGTTAGTGATATTCTAAAAAAAACACTAAAAAAATATTTGATGACTTTTAGTGATACTTATCAAATCTTGAAGAATTTAGAAAATACATATTAGCAACCCTCTTTACCTGTCGTTAAATTCCCCTGTTTATGTCTGAATAGCCCTATCCTTCTCTCACATTACGTTAGACGTCTATGTTTGGTTATGCTAAACCTACCTTAGGGATTTCCCGACTAATAAGGAGGACCTAATACTGTATGTAAACTTCTTTTCAGTGAGTGCTGAATACTGAAAGGTTCATATAAATGAATACTGAAATGTAAGATGGTCTTAAAATAAAAACTTAATTGGAATCGGGGTAGACAATGGCTCTGTCATGACTGGAATCAATAATGGCATACGCGTGCCCAATTAAATTCTAGTCATATGTGTTTGCCACGCATTCACTCATTCACACTGTTTCACATGCGTCAGAGCAAACGTTACCGCGAAATATAGAGTTTCTCATTATAGAAACCTATAATTAATTCTTACATTCACCCAAACGCTATGATCTGTACAAAGAAATATATATATATATATATGAGAGAGTAAATTGTGGCGAGAATACTTTATAAATATTGCGCTCTTGTGATACTCGTTGGCTGTCCGTTGAAGAAACTGTGACCAGGAGGCCGTATCGATTTTATATGTTGTGTTTATTGTAATTATTTCCACAATTAAAATAGTATTTTTATTACCTACCTCGTATTTTCATTTTAAATAATTTGGTAAATTGTAGAGATTTTTTTAAGTAAAAATATCCCTAAATCTGGTAAAATTTTAGACTATAACTTGTGATAAATTTTTCTGCAAGGTGGCAACACTGCAGACTATTTTTTTTTTGGAGTTTATGGCCTGGTATCTAGACCTTTAGGCCAAGTCTTAAGTATTTTTATTCGGTTTATTGTAATTTCCCCACTCCTCCATAGTATACTGCTTCACAATATGTTGATGCGTCACATTGTGCAGTTCTTGGGAGATTTTGGCGGCAACTTGATCCAGCAGACAGCTGATAGTTGGCGATGGTATCTAAAGGTGCCTATGCAAACAAACAGCTTATCTTGAGAATCCATCACCATCAGAGCACTTGTTTCACTGTTTCCACTAATATTCACATGCGTAGACACTTAATACACAAAATCGCGACACTTTTACATATCAAAGTCCACTTCAAACCATTATTTAAACAATAATACAGGAGCAGCAAACCGCCGCCGGTCAATTTCCCGCCAAAACTCCACACTGCAGACTATAGCAGCATATATCACAGAGTATATTATATATAGGGGATGAATTCACGAGAAATGGATTTTTAACAAGTATACTTTTATATTTATATAAAACACATTTACATAATATTGTACATATTTTACCAGATATCTCACGAAAAAGGTTTTGCTCCAGTGTGTATTTTGAGGTGCCTTTGCAAAATACTTTTTGTAATACATTTATATTGACAAATATTACATGAAAAAAGTTTTTGTTCAGTGTGTATTTTTATATGTGTTTGCAAATTACCTTTTGTAATACATTTATAATCACAGATATTACACGAAAAAGGTTTTTCTCCGGTATGTATTTTTATATGCATTTGCAAACCACTTTTTGTAATACATTTATATTGACAAATATTACATGAAAAAGGTTTTTCTCCGGTATGTATTTTGATATGTCTTTTTAAATCACTTTTTGTAATACATTTATATTCACAGATGTTACATGAAAAAGGTTTTTCTCCGGTGTGTATTCTCATATGTGATTGCAAATTATTTTTTTGAATACATTTATATTTGCAAACACTACATGAAAAATATTTTTCTCCCGTGTGTATTCTCATATGTGTTTGCAAATTACCTTTTCGAATTGATTTATATTCGCAAATATTACACGAAAAAGATTTTTCTCCTGTGTGTATTTTTATATGGTATATCAAATTGCTTTTTTTTGTACTTTTATAATCACAATTATTACAACAGTACACATTTTTAGCGGCGTGAACTTTAAAGTGTGCCAAAATGCAACGCTTTTGAGATGTTTTAAATTCGCAAATATCACATTTAAATATTTCCGTTAATTGTGGTACTGGAGTTTGTTCAACTTGTGTACGAACTGCAATGGTGTCAGAGTTCTTTTGCGTGTCATGACTGTATGAAATGTGTTTGGCGAGAATTTCTTTCGTTGAAATATTTTTGCTACAATGACGACTTGTTTTTTTCGTAAGTAAATTATTGACACTATTGTGTTTCAAAATTTTCTTTTTCATAATCTTTGCAGGATGCTTTCCTTTTTTATTAATTGATTGATTATCTTTTTCCACTTTAGGGTTTGAATCAATAGTAGGGCTTCCAAAATCGAGGTTTCCTTTACGAACATCGTTTATGTTACAATCTGTATCAGACTTTGATTTAATAGTTCTCTCAGACGAGTTTGTGAAATTATTTGTCGGTTTGATGTTTGAATCTGAAATACACAAGAACAAAACAGTTTATTTATTGTAAGACTTTGTATCTTTATTGTAAGACACCGTATCCCGGATATAAGGTTAACATTGGGTGGAGTTTATGCCTAACCGCATTTTCTATCAGTCACCATAGGAGAAACAGATCATCATCATCAGCGTCATTACAGCCCTTCACGAGTCCACTGCTGAACTGAACGAGTCTCCCCCAAGGAATGCCACATAGCACAAGAAATAGTTTAATTATAATATTATATAATTATAAAACGTTGTTAGATATAAAGTATTTTAGCCAATTATTCTGAATAATGTCTCTCACATTAATTTTTGAAGAAAAAGAATGGTAGAGAAAGTAAATTCAAATGATAAAAATAACATTTTTGCGACCGTGTTATAATGTAATAATCGCTGAATCGAATTCGAATGTTGACCTTTTTTTAAAGGACAGGGTGAAAAACGAGCACACAGTCCAGCTGATGGTAAGTGGTTGCTGTGGCCCATAGACATCTACATTTATCCTCGTTTACGAATCAAAATGCAGATGCGTTGTCACTCGTGAGGACTAAGATAAAATCCCTCTTTTCCAGTAAAAGGCGATGGATTCCTGTGCTTTGTGGTATTCCGTGGGTGAGACCTATGATCAGCAGTGGACTTGTGAAGGCTGTAATGATGAAGATTTAATGATACAATGCGCTCATCTTTTCATTTTAATTTTTATAGGATAGGGTGACAAACGAGCACACAGTCCACACGATGGTAAAAGGTCGCTGTGACCCATAGACATCTACATCTGTCCTCAATAAAGAATCAAAATACAGATGCATTGTCACCCATGAGGACTACGATGGAATGCCTCTTTTCCAGTAAAAAGGGTATCCGGTTCTCTACACTCACCATACGAAACACAGCAGCGTTAAGCTGCCATTTTACGGATATATAAATTATAAGCACCAACTTTCAAATAAAAAAGAATCATCAAGATCGGTTCACCTAGGAAAAAGTTCTGAGGTAACACACATAAAAAATACAGTCGAATGGAGTACCTCCTCCTTTTTTTGAAGTCGATTAAATGGTAAGTAGGTAAATTATGTGAGTTTCAAAGACGTTCACGTTGTTATAAGACCGCGCAACCAAGTGTCGGCTTTTTGTTCTTTCTGCTCAAAGGCGCCTTAGTCGATTGCCGCGCGCACTTTACATGGTAGAGCCATGCTGCAGCTATATTAATAGTATAGTTGTAGCACGAATGGGTCGGCTCGACCGGGGAAAGACCACGCTCTCACAGAATACCAACGTAAAATAGCAGCTTAATGCTGCTGTTTGGTATGGTGAGTGTAGAGAACTGGAGACCCATTTTACTGGAAAAGAGGCATTCTATCTTAGTCCTCACGGCTGACAACGCATCTGCATTTTAATTCGCAAACGAAGATAGATGTAGATGTCTGTGGGCCACAGCAACCACTTACCATCAGGTGGACTGTGTGCTCGTTTGTCACCCTTATTCTATAAAAAAAAACTCTGACCGTACGTGTATTTTGTTTCGTGCCTCGCTCAAGCATAATAATTATGGATAAAAATCAGTGATTGTAATGAATATCTCGCTATGGTGTAACCCAACACCATAGCGAGACCACCTAACACCTACACACCTGACATAACACCTGGCTATGGAATTCAAGTGATCTTAATTATACAAATAGCCGCGAGATGAATATAGGTACCGGTTCCTGAATTAAAAAAAGAAGATGGAGTTATTGATGGGATCCTACTGGCGGGAAAAATCACGAGAAAAGAAAAGTCGTTCGACTCGATCAGGTAAGATATATATTTATTAGTTGTTTTCACATTTACTACCAAGAACTATTATTACAAAAACTTTTTACTTTCACCTTCCAGGTCGTGATGACGTTTATAAATCCAGCTGGTTTGCATATAATGCCTTTGCATTTATGTATGATAAGAACGAGCCAGGTACCACGCGAGATACTATGGAAAATGAAAGTACATATAACATCTCTTATTGATAGTTATATCTCCATGAGACAGTTCCATTCGTAATAAAATGTCTTGCTAGGTGGTCCCTTATCTCTTTAGCATTATTTGCTCCTCGTCGTGGTATTTATTGAATTGGCAATTAATGATGTTGGTTCTGATTCATTTCGCCAAATTCCTTCTACCATTATGCCGTCATTTCCCATTGTATCAAAAAAGCCAGGAGCTACAAAGCTATTAGAAGATGTTCTCCGTAAATAGTTATAAAAATGAATTGATGCTAAGACAATTTTTGTTGTTTGTTCCGGTTCCAATAACACTGGTTTACGCAAAACGCTATAATCATAACTTAATACTCCGAAAGCGTTTTCTACAACCCTTCGTGCTCTGGAGTCTATAATTAAAAATTCTTTCCTTGGAACCTCTTTCTGGATTGCCTTCGTTAGGTCTCATGGTGTATTCATTCAGCTGAAAAGCTTTGTCACCTAACATATAAAATGGTAATTTGGTAGAATACGGTATTTGCAAAATTGTGGGTGATGGTGATGAGATGTTCTCTTTTTTCAAGTTTTTCGTATAATTTTGTATTTTTAAATACACCTCCATCAGAAATCCATCCTTTACTCCCAACATTTACATATAAAACTTGTAATTTTCATCTACTAAGGCGAACAAAACTATACTTGAAAATTATTTATAATTATCATAGTCATTGCCACTGTTGCCTCTTACGACACCCACGGGATGATATGGGGTAGTGAAAATTCTTATATCGCCACTACAAACATTTATTATGTATATAAATATAGCATTTATTGAATAAATTGGCTACAGCGGCAATGAGGGCTAATAATCTTCCACTCACCAGATGTCGCTACTTGTGACTTGGGTAAAGTTTATTGTTACACAGTGTCAGTTAATTGAGAAACTAGATTTAAATAATAGTTTATCATTATCTAGAGTATTATATTAATAAACAACACAATGGGTCAGTAATTTTAATTTTAAATTTTTTGCATTTTTAAACTCTTTTTTTTTTTTAAACAAATCGATTTTTAGTTATATAGTTTGGTTTATTCATTTCTAATGTAATTAATATAAAATATAACTAATAATACAGAAAGAAACCTTAAAGATTACATTTTCCTAAGAAATTATCGTCCCCGCTATGAAATCTGTCAAATATTTTACCTCACTGTAAAGTGGCGCCGCCCTGGTGGCAGAAAAAGTCGTGGATGCCCTCATTGTCGAATCCTAGCATAGTTTGAACCACCGCCTCGACTTGAAAATAATTGTGTAAATGCGGTCGTCGATTGTATATTTAACGCCGTTGTATGTTTGTAAACAAATTGTAAAGTGCTTCGTCGTTTTGTAATTGTATGTTGTAGTCCGACCGTTAGAGTTGGGCAGATCGTAATCTGCCAGGGCATTACACGATACGTCGCCATTTCATGTTTGTTTGTGCATTTTCATGTTTCACGTATACATATGCCCAGGCACATCATGATCTGCTCATATCTACGATAGGACGACGACGTATCCATTTACCCTCGAGTCACTCGATCACTAACATGCGTACTAACGATTATATATATTACGACTAAAAGCGGTTACACTAAGGTTTAGCCGGCTACAGCTAAGTGAAGCCGATTGCGGTTGGTTAAGTAAGGATCTCCTAAGTGTGTGCTGTTTGAGGATTAGCAGTGGTCCCAAGCAGCCGCCGGTACGACATACTCCACCGATCGTCGAGTCCGCATACTCCGTGAGGTGTCGAGGTCACCGGCCCTTAGGCAGATTCTTGGCACTCAAGTGCGTTTCTTGCCTTGTGTGCCAGTCGCGTACGTGAGTGCTCTCAAGCACTTCCCCCAACGCTTTCGTAACGAAAGGGGTAGGCAGTGCCCCAAGTGTTGCAGCCACCTTTACTCGCTAATGACGGAAAAAGAACCATCACTGTCCTGGTATTGCTACACCCCGGCAGAGGAGAAGCCCACTAAAGTGGGCATCCGGGGGCTGCCAGTAGGCACGGATACCGTCCAAATAACAGAGGCTATTAGGGCAAAGGGATTCCCCATTACCTACGTGAGAGCAATCCCGCCCCGTCGAGGCAGACTTGGGTGCCTCTACTATGCACAGCTGGAACACCTAAGCCTAGAGAAGCTCAACCAACTATATGCAGTCGACGAACTCCTTTTTATGAAAGGGGTCGTCATAGAAGCCTGGCAAGAAAGAGTGGGGCCGGCTCAGTGCCACCGCTGCCAGGCTTTTGGCCACGCATCCGCAAATTGCCACAGACCCGTGAAATGTGTCCGCTGTGCAGGGGAACACATAGCAAGCAATTGCCCACGGGGTAGAGAGGAAGCACCTACATGCGCAAACTACGCAAAGAACCATACCGCAAATGACCGACGCTGCCCAGTCCTGAGGAGGATTGCCATCAGGGGGAGAGGGAGGCAAACCGCCCCCCCCCACCCGCAACTGCACCACGCGCACCACCTGTACCTAAGGAAACGGTGGAACCTGCTGCAAGAGCAACCACCGGGGCGACTCTACAGCCCCCCGCAAATGACGCCACCGAGAGGCAACCCTCAAAGAAGAAGCGGGGGAGAAAGAAGAAGAAGTGTAGCCACCTCCTCAGGCAGCAACCTCAACCCCGACTCCAGCAGTAATGATAGCCTCGCAAGCGCAGGTAATCAAGAAGACAACCATAGAAGGTAGAGCGCCAGAAAGGGCTCTATCAGAAAATAGAGCCCGCTCTACACATAGAGCGCGCTCTACCTTACGGAAAAAGACCTATGCCCAGCCGAGAGCAATACCATCCACAACACCTAGACAACCAACCGCCAACTCAGACACCATGGACGCTATCCTGAGGCTGGTTGGCATCGCCATATAGGTCGGTAGCCAGGTCCTGGCAGACATCAGAGCCGGCACCGACTCAATTACTGCAGTGATGAGAGCACTGTCTCTACTACTAGCTCGGCACTACAGAGGCGAGTGATATGAACCTGCGCTT